ACTATCAACACTCATTTCACTAGATAACTCGTCTTGATAAAGATCATATTCGTATGCTTCTATAATCTCATAGCCACCAAACATCATAAAAAGTCAGTAACCTTGATGTGCTAGTTGCAACCTACTTTTCTTAATAAATTATAATTGCCCATAATTCCTTCAACAGTTTTGGGGTTTTGTTTTCATATTTTACTTTCAATTCCTTAGCCTATGTTGAATTTTTTGGCTGTAATTTAATGTAAAGATCTGATTGGATTTCACCACCACCCTCCATCCCCCACATATTCTCATTTTCCCCACCTCCATTGTTTGTTTGGATAATCTATTCCAACTGACATGCTTTTTCTTTCTTGCTTTTTGTTTTTTTTTGAGTTGGAATTTCACCCTGTTGCCCAGGCTGGAGTGCAATGGTGTGGTCCCTGCTCACCACAACCTTGGCCTCCCGGGCTCAAGCGATTCTCCTGCCTCAGCCTCCTGAGTAGCTGGGATGATAGGCGCCCACCACCATGCCCAGCTAATTTTTGTATTTTTAGTAGAGACTGGGTTTCACCATGTTAGCCAGGCTGGTTCCAAACTCCTGACCTCAAATGACCCACCCACTTTGGCCTCCCAAAGTGCTGGGATTACAGGCGTGAGCCACCACACCAGCCTGATACGCTTTTAATGCATTCGTTTCTGAACTATCTTTTCTGTAACAATGATCTGTCAGACAGTACTTATACTAGTAACACATGTAAATGTTGCAGCTGTAGTATGTTTTAAGATCTGGAGAACTTTCCTTATATTATAGCTGCTTTCTTAACTACCTATTTAATATGTATTAAATAGGTATTTCTTAATACCTATTTACCGATGACTCCCAACTTATGTCTGGCTCTAATTTCCAGGGTTGTACGTCTATATATCTATTCAACCTCTCCTCTCAAATGGGTAATAGACATCCATTCATTCATTCAGCAGTATTTATTAAGCACCCACTCTCTTCCAGGCATTGTTCTAGGCACTTGGAATAAATCAGTGAATCACACAATGATCCCTGCCAATTAATTAACAGTTTGATTCTTACAACAACTTTATGAAGCAAATAAATTATTATTTCTATTATAGTTCACGCATGAGGAAAATGACACACAGAGAGGTTAAATGACTTACTCAGGGTCACACAGCTAGTAGGTGGTGAATCTGGGATTCAAACTCAAGTCATTTCTTCCAGAGTCCTTGCCTTTAATCACTTTCTCAAACTCAACATGTCCAAAACAGAAGTATGGATTCCTCTGTCACATTTAGTTCTCAGGCTTTCTCCATTTTAATAAATGACTATACCATTCAAGCATATACCTGCTTGACTCAAAAACCTAGGAATCGTTCACGACTCCCTTTTCCCTCACTCTCCATATTCAGTAGATTAGCAAGTTCTGCCAATTTTATCATCAACAAATATATCTCTAATTCCACCACTTCTGACTGTGTCTGGTGCTCCAACTTAGACCAAGCATTGTCATCTTCTGCCTGCACCATTACACCTTCTAAAGATTCTCCCTATTTCTGTTCTTTCCCTTTTCACACAACTGGCAGTGAAGACTTCAAAAAATATCAATAACATCCTGTCACTCTCATGATCAAAATACAGTCAAATTATACTATAAACACTTACAGAGAAAAACAGAAATTGCCCCACCCTTCCCCACCTTCGTGGTATCTGTTCCTCGGTGGCAACTGCTCTGTGTTGTTTTGGCTCTTTCTTCTGTCATTTACATCCATATCTCTAAAGTGCATACTAATACAACTAGTTTTAAAATTTCAGTTGTGGACACCATCCGTCAACTTCAATGACTTCCTAGTAGAGCAGAGGACTATTTAGCTCTTCTATAACTACCCGCACCCCAAACACACACTTCCTCTCTCTTCTACCAATGTAGGTATATCTCAACTTTTATTATTTTCGTTACATTATTTTGACTATGCAAATATTATTCATACTTCCTTAGTGTACTAGGACTTTACTTCCTATTTTTGTGAAACTATTTGTTTTACTTCCTTTTTATAAAACTTTTCCTAGACTTAATAATTGCTTCATTTTTTCTTTGCTTGTATTTCTTCCCCAGGTACTTAACACTAATTCTTATTCAAACTCTCTGGTAGAGCTGTAAATCTCTTCTCAATGTAACCAGGTATACAGAATAATCTATAAATTCATTTTTTCCCCTGGAAAACATCCTCTTAGATCCCTTCTTTCTCTATGATCTGCCACACTACTGTCGTTTTGTGAGTCAGCTTCATGATCTTCCCAGGAATTCTGTTGCTTTTTAACCCGTTTTTAGCTCTTCTTATCTGTATCTCATGTCTTACTCTCATTTGGCTTAAATTCATTTCGAAGGAATACATTTCCCAGTAGCTTTCTGAGGAAGTAGGCATGAATGGTGAAATAAAAATATGCTTCTTGGCCAGGTTCGGTGGCTTGTGCCTGAAATCCCCGCACTTTGGGAGGGCAAAAATTAGCCGGGTATGGTGGCAGGTGCCTGTAATTCCAGCTACTTGGGAGGCTAAAGCAGGAGAATCTCTTGAACCCAGGAAGCAGAGGTTGCAGTAACCTGAGATCGCACCACTGCACTCCAGCCTGGGCAACAGAGTGAGACTCTGCCCCCAAAAATAAACAAATAAAAAACAAAAACCGCTTCTTATAACTCCTCATAATTGATCATTACTGTAATTTGTTACAAAATTCTAGATTTGATATCATTTTGATTTGAATCATTATGATTGAGTGTTCTGATGTCCTTCCAATTCTTGATCCTTTATAGCCCTTCTGCTTTTTTCTATGAGTTTTTAGAAGCGTCTGTTTATTCCTGAAATTCTCATATTTCACATTTTCATCCCCCTCAAAGGTTTCTTCATGTCACTGGGTAATTCATTTTTTTCTTCTCCCCCAAATCCCCTCCTTATAGATTTGGGACAAATTTGCTCTCTGTCCCTATAAATTATTTTCTATAATTTCGTAAAAATGGAATAATATATAAAATCACTTCCGTACTTGGCTTCCTCAGCATAATTATTTTGAGATTTATCAGGTTTTTTAAATGTATCAGTTTCTTTTCATTGATGAGTAGAAGTCAGTTACATGGATTTACCACATTTTGTTTATCTCTTCACCTAGTCATGGACATTTGGGCTGTTTCCAGTTTTTGCTATTCATAATAAAACTGTCATAAGCATTAGTGTACAATTCTTTCATTAGACATATATTTCTTTTTTCATCAGTTAATATTTAGAATTAGAATTGTTCAATCATATAGTAGGGGCTTCTTTAAATTTTTAAAAAACTGTCAATAGTTTTCCAAACTTGTACTATTTTACGTTTTCACTGTCACTGTACGAGATTTCCAATTGTTGTATATCCTTGGCGTTCTTGGTCTTCTCAATTGTAGTAAATTCTAGTGGATATATAGTTCCATCTCACTGTGATTTTAAATTACATTTCCCAGGTAGCTAATTACTTTGAGCATTTATTCGTGTTTTTTTTTTTTTTTTTTTTTTTTTTGAGATGGAGTCTCACTCTGTCACCCAGGCTGGAGTGCAGTGGCACGATCTCGGCTCACTGCAAGCTCCGCCTCCTGGGTTCATGCCATTCCCCTGCCTCAGCCTCCCGAGTAGCTGGGATTACAGGCATGTGCCATCACATCACATCCAGCGAATTTTTGTGTTTTTAGTAGAGGCTGGGTTTCACCATGTTGGCCAGGCTGGTCTTGAACACCTGATCTCAAGTGATCCACCCATCTTGGCCTCCCAAAGTGCTGGGAAAGCCACTGCACTCGACCCATTTGTATATCTGCTTTTGTGATTTTTTTCTGTTCAAATATTTGGCCCCCGTTTTTTATTGGGCTGTTTGTTTTCTTATTGTTGAGTTACGAATGATATTTATATAGCTGAGATGCAAGACCTTTGTCAGATATGTGCATTGCAAATATTTTCTTGTAGTCTCTGGTTTGTCTTATGTGTTGTAATCTGCTTACATTGTTGTTGGAAATTATCTTTCAAAGAGTAAAAGGTTTCAATTTTCACGTGTCATATAGGTTTTATAGCTATGTTCTTAAATAAATGCCTTAATATTCTAAGTTATTTCATTATTCTAAATGAAATTTTTGCATCATTCTGTTGCTTTTTATTGCTATAATAATAAGTTATATGTACGTTATAACTGGACACCTCGCCAAGTCCCCCATTCAGTAGTTTTTAAACTTATGTTTCTTAGGTATTCAACTATATGATCAGCAAGAACAAATACATTTAGCTTTTTTATTTTCTGGTATCTATATTGGTTATTTCCATTTTATTTTCTTCTCCTAATATTTTTTCTTAAACCTAAAAAACAACATTGAATTGGCTTTTTTCTGGTTTTAATAGGACTGTCCTTTAGTGTTTTATCATCTAGAAAGTCATTTGCATTTAATTTTTAGCCAATAATTACAATTGTGTTCACATAGTTTTGATCTGTTCTATGTAGAGGTTTTTGAAATTAGAAATCACTATCAAATTTTATTAAAGGTGCTTTAGTATTTATATTATTATTCTTACATAATATAATAAATTATATATATATATGTTTTTAATATTGAACCCTTGCATTGTTGGATGGCCACACAATATTATTCTTTTAATATATTGCTGGGTTCAATTTGTTTATATTTCATTTAGAATTTTTACATTAATACTATAAATTAGATTAATGCTCCCTCTCCCATGGTGATCTCTTCTTCTTGACTGTCTTTATCAAATTTTAGTATTACACTTATATAAGCATCATAAAACAAATTGGGGTGCTTTCCATCTTTTATTATAATCTGAAATAATGTAAACGATATTAGAATTATCTCTGCTAACTGTTAGATTGCATTCAGCTGTAAGATCAACACTTTTAATTTTTAAATTCTTTAAAACTTTGAGACATGTATTTACTTTCCCACATCACCAATCACGGCCTAGTATGATTATGAGTGGCTAAGTCTTCTATCCCTTCAGGAAAACATAGCACTATTGAATGACTATGGCATCCTATGGAGAACTTCAATCTCTTGTCATAGCCTTTAGAGTTCCTGGCTTCAAGGCCTGCAAACTCTCTTTGAATGACCTACTGAATACTTTTTTTTCAATGAAAAAGCTTCAGCTATTAAATAATCAGATTTTTTTAGTGCCACATCTTCAATTACCTTTGTAATATTTTATATATTAATTACTCTTTTAAAGTTTTTTATTTCTTCTTGGGTTAATTTTGCTCATTTTGTTAGTAAGTCATTTCTTCTAGGTTATCAAATTGCTGTCACAGACTTTTACATGGTGTATTCTTATAATTATTTTCATCTCTTTTGTTTTGCATTTATTTGTAGCTCTGTACTTCCCATTCTTAATCTTTCATGTTTTCTATCTCTTTTCTCTATTCAGGCAAATCGCAGTTTATTTATTTTATTGCTGTTTTCATGGCATCAGTATTTGGCTTTTCCCTACTATTTCGGTGTTTTCTATTCTATTAATTTTATCTTTTGTCTTTGCTAATTCCTACTACTTACTTTCTTTGGTTTATTTTATTTTTCTGTTACTGATTCTTCCTCTTTTTTTTTTTTTTTTTTTAGATGGCGTCTCACTCTGTCATCCAGGCTGGAGTGCAGTGGCTCGATCTCTGCTCACTGCAACCTCTGCCCCCCAGGTTCAAGGGATTCTACTGCTTCAGCCTCCTGAGTAGCCAGGACTACAGATGCCCCGCCACTATGACCAGCTAATATATATATATGTGTGTGTGTGTGTGTGTGTGTGTGTGTGTGTGTGTGTGTATGTTTTTTAAAATTTTTAGTACAAACGGGGTTTTTTGCCATGTTGGCCAGGCTGGTCTCGAACTCCTGACCTCAAGTGATCCACCTGCCTCGGCCTCCCAAAGTGCTGGTATCCCAGGCATGAGCCACTGTGCCTGGCCTCTTTTACTAATTCTTAAGATGGGCATATTCATTTGCTGGAGCTGCAATGAGAGATGGCTTAAACAACAGAATTTTATTTTCTCAGAGTTACAGATGCTAGAGTCCAAGATCAAAGTGTCAGCACGTTTGGTTTCTTCTGAGGACTCTCCTTGACTTCCAGATGGTTGCCTCTATGCTGTGTCCTCACATGGCGTCATCCCTTGGTAAGTGTGTTGTGTGCATCCTAATCTCCTCTTCTTATAAGAACACTAGTCATATTGGATTAGACCCACCATGGGAGCTCATTTTACCTTAATTACCTCTTTCAAGGCCCTATTTCCAAACGCAGTCACTTTCTGAAGTTCTGAGGGGTAGGATTTCAACATGTGAATTTTGGGGGAGACTTAATTCAGCCCATAACAATGGGTCTAAATTATTTTATTTTTTATTTTCTTTAAACATGAAGGAATTCGAGGCTATACATTTTTCTCTGACTATAAATTAAACTGTTTTAATACAAAATGTTCAATGTGAATCATTCCCCTTTCCATGCTTTCTAGATAGCATATAATTTCAGTTTTAAATGTCTCTTTGATGCTGGAGTTAAGAGAGTGTTTCTTAACTTCCAAAACGTTTTCAGTCAACATTTTATTACTTATTTCTAATTTTGTTGTGGCCAGTGAGTGTTCTATATTTTAATGTTTTTAAGGGTTTTCTTTGTAATCAAATACGGATATCATCAATATTTGTACTATTTATATTTCTACAAAAATTCACACTCTATGTCAGTAGGATAGAAATTACACAGGGTTTTATTAATCTACTTTATTGTTATATTATTCAATTCCTCTATGTCCTTACTTATCTTTTTGTGTAGTGAATCTTTCTACTTCTGAAAGGGATGTTTTAAAAATTACAACTATAATTTTATTAGGTTTTTGCATTTCTACAAGCTCTTTTTACCCATTCGGCTGCAAAGTTATTTGATGTGTATGTTTGTGACTATTGTATCTCCTCTATAAACTGTGTTTTTTAAATTGTCTCTATTCATGTCCTTCTTAAAATGCTACCTGGTAACAGCCTGTATGATGCCACAGTCTCCTAGTTCGGATCCATGTCTTTGCCTACTCCTTAAACGTACGTGTTCCTCTGTATTCTGATCTTCCTCTCCTCCTCCTGTAAGCACAAATAAATGCACATCTGTCACCCAGATCTCTCTTCGGAGCTCAAGACTCATACAACTCATTTCTGCCTAGATTGTTGTCTTGAATGCAGCACACACAGCTCAAAAGCAAAATTCCCCTCCTTCACCCTGAACCTGCCTTTTCTCTCTTTAAAACGTTACTTTTAGATTTTTTTCTTATAAACAAAACATTGCTCAGTTTTGTTTTTCCACTAATCTGACATTACATAATCCAAGCAAACTGCCTAATGTGGTTCCTGACAGGTTGTGAGTTCTCCAAAAATTTAGCTACTATTATCAATAGAATCCAAGTTTACATTCACTGTCAGTTGCCACTTCATGCTGTCAGGAGGTACTTTTTTGCCACATTACCACAGTAGTGTTGGCTCTTTGATCTTTTATGAACACAAGAAAAAGACAATTAAATCTCAACTCGCATACTGTGGGATAAAACGTGTCTTGCACTGTGCTATAGTGGGAATCAAGGAATGGTCATGGTTTAGCGCTTCTTTTCAATGGTCCAATAATTTACTTGACTCCATTAGTTGCATTCTTGAGTTCCAGTGACACGACCAATTTAAAATAGTTTTTGGATGAATCAAACAGAACTCTAATGAACAGCCTAAATTTTTTGCTTCTTCTTTGAATCCTAGTTGATGGCAGAGAGCATGTTCACTTGCTGATTGGGTGGTAGATTTGACCACTGTTTAAGAATCAGCTCCAGAAATTTGATTTTGCAGAAAACTTCTGGGTATATTAAGACAAATTCTTCTGTTCACTGGCTTTTCATGTCCTTTAGGAGAAACCTTCACCTGGAAACCACTCCAACAACCACCAAGGCACTTGAGTAAAAACATTAGCATATAGTACATTGTCCAATTAAAACAGAGACTAATAGAAACTGGTAACATGAAGATGTACGCCTCTCATTATATAAGTCCTCACCTCTCACCCTTACCACCAATCACACACATAGCTACTACCACTGACAACACAGCCTTTCCAATATGGAACAAGCCTTGTTTCTGAACAGAAACTGCTTTTTAAAATCAACTAACAATCAACAAATCTGGTCATCGATTAGACTAGAAGAATTTCTCTCCCTTTTCTCATATTTTCTGCCTTCTATCTCATAATGGTTTTCTGTTTTGTCACCCTCACAGCTCCGTGGAACTTGAATGCCAACAGCTCTTCATCTGTTCACATTAAAGAAAATTAGAAGGAGGAGGAGGAGAGAAGAAAGTCCTATCATCAAGTTTATTACTCCCAGGGTGGTCAGCTTTCTATTTAAGGGAATATGCCCAAATTTCAGAACTGGTTTAGTTTATGCTCTGAAAAACATAGGCAATTATTCACCTGCCTCTTACATATTTGTGTGTCTGGCTGTGACCTTCGATGGAGGGCAATAAAAAGGAATCATTAAGAAGCCTACTGTAGATGATGTGTTTTCTCTCTCTGAAAAAGAAGAGTGATGGCTTTTGCCTAAATACCCAAAATTAAATACATAAGTTTTCTACATGGAAGCCTAAATAGCTTATTGAATTAAAAAAAATCTTAGAGCTTTAAAGTAAAAACACTCTTTTTCTCATTTCTGGAAAAATTATATTAGTAAAAATTATTTGGCCAGAATCTCTCAGACTGTGCAATTTTTAATGTAGTGAATAGAAAATTAAATACAATTTTCCACTGCAACTGTCTTTGATAGTGAATAAGACATGTCACCATATGTATTGAAGGCTCCTCCATATATGTGTTAAAGTTTTTATTTATCTCTTCCTTGTGCTGTTTTGACTAGTGCTTCTATTTTGAGGGAATTTGACATTTAAAGGAATATGTGATTATACTCTAGTTTTGCATTTATATTTTAAAATAGGTAAAATAGAATTTCTGAATTCAGAAGAGAGAATACCAGTAACCAGGCTGTTTTAAATTTATTTGCTTGATGATGCTGTGTAGGTCTTAAGATTTTAGGACAGCTTGACTGGGCACAGTGGCTCACGCCTGTGATCCCAGCACTTTGGGAGGCCAAGGCGGGTGGATCACCTGAGGTCAGGAGTTCAAGATCAGCCTGACCACATGGTGAAACCCCGTCTCTACTAAAACTACAAAAATTAGCCGGGCATGGTGGCAGATGCCTGTAATCCCAGCTACTCAGGAAGCTGAAGCAGGAGAATCATTTGAACCTGGGAGGCGGAGGCTGCAGTGAGCCAAGACCACGTCACTGCACTCCAACCTGGGTGACAGAGCAAGACTCCATCTCAAAAACAAACAAACAAAAAAAAGATTTTAGGACAGCTTAAGAAGCCAACATTAAGAAACATGTGTGGGCATGTCCATAGTCTGGACTAGGCTGTGTACTGTAGGGATATGTATTGTCTGGCATACTAATGTCAGAAACAATCAGTTCCTCTTCAAACTTCCTGGCTTTCTCTAGTGGCTAGTGTCTTTTCACAGTGCTAGAAATGATAAGTTCTTGTTCTCTAAACAACCCTTCCCACCTTTGCCGTGCCCGAACATGTCTAAACATGGCCTTCCCATTCTCCCTGCCTCTTCTCTTTGCAAATTGCACATTTACCTTATTTGGAAAAGTTTAAGTCTTTTACCTTATTTAGAGAAGTTTAAAATCTTAGCCAGTTGGGTTAGTTTAGATTGTGCGGTCTGACTCCAGCCAATGGAGAGGACACAGAACAAGAGCTGTGTTAGGGATAAAAACCCTCCTCTCCTTTGCTCTGTGTGCTCTTGCGATCATGGTAGATGCAGGCAGCACCTTCCTGCAGAAGTAAATTTGCCTTGCTGAGAAATTTTCTAAGTGCTGGTTTTTCTTTGCAGCACCAAGCACTTATTTCCAACACTGAGAAATGCAATGCTACTAGTATCATGTTTAAATGGGCAAACACATTGATTTCAGGAATGGCTTAGATTAGAATTCTGCAAACTTTTCTGTAGAGTGAAATTGTAAATATTTTAGGCTTTGCAGGCCATATGAACTCTGTGACAACTGC